ATGTATCCAATATGGCACTCGGTGGTGTTCTGTATATTATTGATGGAATCTGAGATACGTATAATTCTTCAGCAGATCCATAAACTCAACACAATGTTTTAGCTACCCCACTAAACAACAATTGTATCTTTTTGCTATTATATTAGCACTCACTCAATTCAAGGATTGGTTGTACTTTAATATACTATGGGATCAAAAATGTCCCAAAATTTAAAGGGCATGAAACAAACCCCCAATTGGTTAGTCAGTGACAAGCAAACCCGATTTTAAAGTCATTCATATTTTAATGTAACCGATATTCCTGGTATACATGATCATCTACCGACTTTTTTACCCAGACTGCAAACCAGCATCGAGTAAATATAGATGCCTATGAAATACAGAGTTACCATGAGCGCTGTTGGTATCATTGAACCCGTCGCGGTCGTTAATACCCATGGAGCCTGTCGCACTGTCCTGACCGGCGGCTCCGGTCGGACCCTTTGCCCCGGTGTAAGATTCGGTCTAATAAAGGCGATACCAATGCCTTAGAATAAATAAACGCGTAGGTAAATTCGATATATCGTGTAAATATCGATATAAATAAACGAAATGAGACGTTTAATAAAGTTAGGTTTGCCTCGTGAAAACAGCAATACTCTGAGGGATTGTGAGGCTGAGACATTGCCTATATATAATCCTCTCAGTACTGTTTCCGCCGAAGGGGTTTTATTTAGTGTTTCGTTGTCGCTCTATTAGAAACTATGGTATGTTTCGAAACACTGGGGCGAATCCGAGAGACTCATAAAATCCTATCTTTAGAAAAAAAGAAATATAAAAAAATACTCTTGACGTCTTTAGTCATTGTCTTAACCAATAGCTTGCCACTATCAAGAATTACCGACTTAGCCTTCATCAGACTGGCACATCTGGTTGGCTTATCAGAGGATCAACTAGGTAACGCTATTAGTCCCTAGAAACATATATTCGGTTGAGCCATCTCGCTACCGAAGTATTCAGATATAAATAAAATTGGAAAGTAAATAAAGCTCTATTAATAGAACTAGACCAACTCTTTTTATGTTTGGTATTCTACTGAGGCCTTTTAATGGCCTCATCCAAATATCTGATATGTTAAATGGAAAAGGTTTAATTAATAAAACCATTAAAACCCATTTTAGGAAACTTGAGTTCCTCGTGCTATTAAGAGCACATTTAGGAGACTTAAGTGCCCCGTACTATTAAGAGTACATTTAGGAAACTTAAGTTCCTCGTACTATTAAGAGTACGTTTATAATTTGCGTACTGCTTAAGAGTACGTTTATACATAGAGTCTAATGTGGAGGCCCGGCTTATTACACCGGTTGAACCGTCTAAACGCCTAAAGATCACAGATACTATTAGTACAATGATTTGCGTACTATAAATATATTAGCTATGTACTAGAATGCGCAGCTGCCGCAATACTACCCACTGAAATTGATATTTCAAATCAACTTCTCATCTGAGAACACAGTAGGCAAAATCTACCGCGTTGGTTGCATCTAATATTCTACCATCGAACGTTGTGCTACCCTTTAGAAGACATTTATAAATAGGTATCTTAACAAATTGATATTAATGACCTAATGTGCGACAGTCGATATGAATAGTGCCCGGAGAGTTCATAAGTCACCTTGGCGACGTACTACACTATAGTTTGGCGGATTTTCACAGATGGAACACAATTCGAATAGACGTCATCAAAAATCTTCAAACGAAAGATAAAAGAATCCACTCTTTTTAGCAACATCAAAATGTTAAGGGGGCCAATCGTATACACCTGCAGTATGTGTTACTGAAATAAAAACTGAGCCCATAGAATCAATGAAACGCGCACACAAGGCACAGCATGTATTCTACAAGATTATTCGGGCACACAGTGCCGCTCCTTACAAAGATAAGACCAGGCTATTTGATTAGTTAATAATCGATCTTTCAAAAGTAGTATCTGATCACGTTATTCAACTAATAGACGAAAAAACCAAACAACAGTCGTATATTTACCTTAAAGTCAGTACAAGTGACGATGTAGCGTATATGTACAGATCACACTGAGAAGGATTTTGTACACTCGAATATTGAAAGCAATTTATATCTTAATTTTGGCTGATCAACTAAAGTATACACTACCAACGGTAGCTATTTAGTTTACTGGGGACAATATTATAACGATACCAATACATATTGCACGCGCATATCATAAAATGGGTATTCCATATAAACCTTTCACACAAAGCACAAAGTGCGAACGAGGTGAGAAACGATTGAGCGTTACTTGATGATGCTGACTTGTGACCAAATTTAATTCACTAAATATGAACCTAAATAAACGAGACACATGATTATGTCATTGGCAAAACGCTCACTCAGTATTTAAAGGGCCTTAATAGTGAAATACATATTGCATATTGTACTTTCCACAAAACAAATATCCATCGAGGGGAAACACATAGTGATTTTCCCGTGGTTTGTTGTGATGTCAACCAGAGTAAATGCCTACTGCTGTATCGCCAAGCTCTTCATCTCTGAACGTGCTGATTCCTTCCAATCGGCTGCGTTTGGCATCTCATATTTACCTTTGTATGTTTTCGGTTCCATTGCTGAAATTGCTGAATTAACAGTGTGCTTAGTGCTGAGATATCGTCTTTTACGGCGGCTGTCGTAGTATCAGTTGACATTCAACAATCGCAAGGTCTCACAGTTCTCGAGAGACTTGGCAACCTTCTGTCGTTCTTTTAGCTATGGTTGCTTCGAGATCGTGTTGTGTTTTGATGGTCGCTGCGGAAGCCTCTGACTCACCGGTATGTATTCGCTCTCCGCAAGTTGTTGTTTTGTTCTGAGTTGCTTGACTTTTGCGTCACAGTTGGCTGGGCTCGTTGGCTAAGCATATCTTCCACTGTCGATGTTGTCCTTGCGTCTATTCGGAAATCGCTATTCTCGATTTGGAGGAATGTATTATTGTTCATAGTGTCCGGTAGTACAATGGCAGTTGTACATTTGTTGTCTTCCCAGACAAAAACAAATCGTCTTCGAATATATAGACCTCTCGGCTTTGTATTATACGCTTGGTCAGAGGTGAGTTTATACGATACGAGTCCGGTGTTGTGTCTAAGGGTTGCGCAATCGTCGAATTTGCCGTCTGAATTACAATTCTTGTATGCGAAATGACACCCGAATATTCTGAACATATCTATCGGAAATGCGTATCCTGTAAATTTCTCGTATGGAGATGAGCTCTTCTCGTTGGTGGGTATAGCAATATATATGTTGGTAGCTTGAATTAGTGATTCAGCCTATATAGTAGTCGGTAGAGGTGCATACTTCAGTTGTGCAAGCATTCTAGGAATCAGTGTACCATGCAGTCTCTCTACCTTGCCATGATATTGTGGCGTGGCCGTAGGTGCGTACCTTGAGCAGTATCCCAAACACGCAAGCATGCGTCTAGTTACTCTTGCTGTAACTTGTGAGCCTCGATTTATTTGTACACACTGACCTCGGCGAGGAGTTGAAATATACCATTCATCGAATGTGTGTACATAGTATCAAGAATTGTTGATGCTTTCAGGTCGCGGATCGGAAATTCATTGGCCATGCTAGAAAAGTCGTTTGATACAGAGTGGGTGTTGGATCCTATTGATGTTGCGAACGGTCCAATTATGTCCACGAAGACTAACTCGAGAGGCTCTGTGGCAGGTTCGTGCTGTCATTCTTTGTTGTATTCTTGTTCTTCTTCTTAGCAATAGTGCATGCTTTACATCGTTCCTCTGGTTACCTTGCGTAGTGTAAATATTTTGGGACGTAGCTGGGGTGCGCGAGCCTGTTACAGTGCCATGAAATCTGGTTGGCTTTCTCCAGCGATGGTTCCACTGTAGTCATAACTATATTGTCGATGTGCACGCAGTATATTCTGTGCCTTTCATGTACTGTTTTGGTTCCAAAGCTTGGTAGTAATATGTACACTATGTTGTTGGTGAATCCAATTGAGTAGTGTTGTGCTGAGAGCAGGCTGATACTTAGTAGTGCAGTTTTATCAGAATGTCACATCGATGAATACGTCCGCCAAGTTTCCTAGCTGAGCCACATACTTCGGATAAATGATTGTACCATCAGCTACTTCGGTCATTAATGCGCACGTTGCGAACGAGATGATGCTTTTGGTACTTATAGGGAAGTATGTGTATGGTGGCGCAACTATCGCAAGCTAGTCAGCACCCACCTCTGAAATCTCTGTCCGATTGATTATCCACCTCCTTGTTGTCAATTGTAGGATTAATCGTGGAGAATACAATCTGTCTCTTAGCAGGTAGCAGCTGGTTATCGGATACTTATGCTGACATTGTTTTGTCCTGTCTGCCTTCATGATCTTGGCGTCGATTGCTCTGGGATCGGTATGTTCTGTCACTGTCTTGTGAACATCGTATATATCGTGAATATCTACCATCGTCGTAGTCGCGTCGATTGTATCTATCTACTCGGTAGTACTGTCGGTCATGATCATCGTGCTTATCGTAGCGGTATTGGTAGCGGTTGTTTCTGTTGTATCGTTCCTCACGTGTATGGTAGCCACGATTTGAATCAGATCGCTTATGCTTGTTGTTCTACATGGACATATATCTGTACTCTCATACGTCGTATATCTATAGTCTCGTATGTCGTGACGAGGACCAGACTTGTCAATCCGTCGATCGTAAGGTTTACGACCGTCGTGGTCACGACCCTGATTATATGGGTCACCAGCAACGCGATGAGATACGTGGTGAGCTCGCCATACGACATGACCATCGTAGTGGGTGTCTTCAACGTAATCTTAACAGTATTATTATTGTCGTTTACAGCCTGCCGTAAAATATCGCATAGACTGTTGTTGGACTTCGAACCTCCGGCATTTTTTTTTGAATTCACAAATGCCGTGTTGAGACGACTAATACGATTGGCGTAAGATTCCTTCCGGTCTTGCGTGATGTGGTTCAGTTTCCCTTCTAATCATCATCTTCGGTCAGGGCTTCAAACTTGCGTTGCAGTGCGGCGACAGCTACCCACGGCATATCAATGAATTGGCTGATATCCGTCTGCAGTATTGGAAATAAGGTGCGGTTGATAATCCGATAAGCCTCAGATATTTCCTTGGGTGTCCATCGGTGGCCTCTAGACGGAGTCGGATCGGTTAATATTGTTGGAATTTCTTCACAATTCACGGATAGAATGATCTGAGTTTTCCAAGGAAGCCAGTCGGCCTTCGTTTCGAGGATAGTGGTGATCTTAATATCCTTAAAATTTACAGTAGGCATATTGATAGCGCGAGATGAGAGTGACCTGATAGGTTGTTAGAGTGCAATTTTGTGGACTTTAAAAAAAAGTGCAAATGTATGTATTTATTTCTGACCTCATCTTTGGTTTTAAATATAAGGTGTTTGTACTAGTGTTCAGCCATATAGGCTGGCCAGGGTAAAAACTCATATGGTCAGTTTGAGAAACCTCCTACATATATCTTTAACACTTCGATGGTATTCTAATTCGACTTCTCTGCAACTAAATATCAAGCAGATCACATGATGCCTGTTTTAGGGAACCGCCTCTATTTTTAGAATGTTGCGATTGGCAGACTTAATCCACTCTCTAGAGTTGGTTGAGAAACTTAATCTGCTCTCGGGAGTCGGTTAAGTATTTCTCAACTCTCGGGAGTGATTTTAAAAGCAACTTGATTAGCTCTCGGGAGTGAGCTAATTCTGATAACTTCTATAAATCAAAGGGGGTTTCTTGCTGTAAAATCTGGCCTGAGACCTGTAGTCTCTCAAAAAGGTCATAAGATTAAAGAATCATTATGCTTACCATCGAGAGCCTTCAGGATTGACTAAACCCCAAAATGTAGCAGAGTAACCGAGTAAATTACAATAAATAATAAGACAATATTATATGATCGAACTCCGTTTCTCTTTTTGACACTGTGTGATTGAAACCACATACGACAACATTCAATTTTTAAGCTGAGGCGGGGCTGTGTAAAGTAGCGGGTTCGTGAAATAGTAAAAGCCCATGTTTTCCACTAAACATTGAATTATATGCAAGACAGGGACTTAGCAAAAATAAAGACCTGGTATGTTTGCAAATACTCACAGAGCAAGATGATCTGTTTGGACAAAATCAGCACTGTCATCATTCTGCTCAGATACAATACCAGTTTGGTACCCAGAGAAGGATGGTTCAATAACAGGTGCCATGAGGTGTCAAAACATGGTTCACTGACAGGTATTATGACCTGTCAAATAAGAGTTCACCACAATAAGCCATGCTTTTGTAACTTACGTGTGACTCCATAATCCATATGCATAGGAGATGTATATATAAAAGCCTCCGTAGAGGTCTAAATAAAGTCACTCTCCACTTAACATATTATGGTTCTATATGTAACAATCGCCCTTATTCGCGCTCGTGCCGACGCCAATGAAGACGAGGCTAGAGACTACAAACAACGCGCCATCGACGAAGGGTATGTACTTAATCAGGAACGCGATGCACATGTCAAGACTCTACGTGAACTCAATGTTCTTAACGCGCGCTTCTCTAGTACCAAGGAGAAACTCGCAAAATGCGAAGCGGACCTCGATGGGACACGAGCTCGACTCCATGAAGCGGAAGCTTATACAGGCACTGATCACAAACCAAACCTCTGCACTGCTGAACTCCAAGGTGAAGTGGATGGCTTACGTACCGCGCTCAAAGAAGCCAACGACCACATTCACAGTCTCAACCAGGCCACCAGAAGCAACAGCGACATAACTAATAGAGCTCCAAAGTCTATTGTTGAGCGCTACAACATTACTCCCGTTAAGCCTGCCCTCGACCTTCGGGACACGCCGAAATACAAAGATGTCTTTAATGGTGAGAAACTCAAAGGTTGTCAGAACTTCGGCAACTGGATCACTGGGTTGCGCATGGAATTGGCCCACTTCGATGTACTTCCTCGCTGTCATCCAATGTGCAACGACCGCAGCGCTGGGGGAGGACCAGATCCAGCGGCCGACTCGAAATGTCGCCGTATACTCATTCATTCTATTAGTGAACTCCTGCTTAATTCCGTGTACAAAAATTACATGGCCAAGGCACCACACGTTTTCTTTGATCACATCTGTGTTACAACCAACACTGGTAGTCATGGTCGCTTCTGGGGTGCACTGCAGAATCTCACCAGTTTTGCATCGACGGGCTCCCCTGATACAACGCTCTAAGCTTTAGAAAAGATACGTCAACACTTGGTAGACATTGGTGAAAACATCCCTGACAAGTATTTGATTTGCGCTCTACTCTGTAGTCTCGACGACAACTACAAATTATTTCGTGCAGATATATTTGATCACGATCTGGATGCCCTCGCGATCGACGAAGTCCATAAAAAGGGGCTCAAATTTGCCGGTGACAATCTACTTGATTCTTCGCCACCTATCTCCGGACTTATGACCATCAATACCTCTGCTGAGCGTAGTAACCCAGTCGTCAACAAAAATGCCAGCCCTGGTCAACAGAATACTTCCACTCAACGCCGCGACCGCCCTAACTGTCCTCTCTGTGGCAAATCTGGACACAGCATTTTTGGATGTCCTGACTCAATCTGCCGTCGTTGTGGTCCAGCCGATCATAAGGGTAGCAAATGCCCTATTGATCGTTCTACACTTTCGTGTTCCAAATGCGACAGAAGCGGTCACAACAACACAGCTTGCATGTCCAAGTAAAGCCACGGGGTTCATCGCGCTATATCAGCACCCAATACGATCCTTTCCCAAGGACAATGCGACGACTGCTTCTCCGGACATCTCTCGTCCTACAGAACTCACCAGCATATTCCCAAGGATTCCAACATTCCCAATAAAGCGGACATACATTCAATTACTGAACGCTATCGCCTGCAGAGTTCAATATACCAAGATGGGCCCACAGCACCACTATACATAGCCGAGTCTCTCATTGATTCCGGCGCTATGATTCATATATATATATATATATATATATCACTACCGATGGTGTTACAAATATCCAACGTGGCAATTTCATAGTCGTATTCCCGGACAAGTCTCAAATTACGCTACACGCACGCGACACGCTTCCGGGATTGAGCCAAGTACGCATCATGCCGCAAGCAGCACAAAACATACTATCTGTGCGACCCATGCAACGGAATGGTTTCGATGTCAACTTCCCCGCCCAAGCCAACGATACGTTACCTACAGAGTGCCACATAACGGACCCAACAAACCAGACACATACAATACCAGACGTGAGCGGTCAATACAAAATAGCTACCTATCCCACTCGCACCCTCACCGATTGGCACAACGTTCTCGGTCACACTCATCCATGCAAAACACGACCCACCCTTTCGCAACACAATATCGATGTTTACGTCGCCAAGAGCGAAAGCACAGACAATTAAAAGTTAAACCCTGACCTCTTCCAAAAACACGTCGTTGAACCTTTCGACATCGTCGATATCGATTTATTTGCTTGTACAAACAATGCACAAGGCACCACTTTGTGATGCTTATGCCCAGTCACACCTGGAATCAGATGAAAGTCCATCTCTACGCCAACATACCGTTCACCAAAAAGCACTGGTCTGCCACGCTCAGCAAACTGGACACGGACAATGGCTTGGTTACTGTCGTCTTTCCTCTGGGTCCCCATAACAAATGCTACCAACAAACGCTCAAACAGTTACATTCACATGTGAAGGTTGTCCGCACGACTTCCACTACATTTCTTCGCAACGGCTCTGAAGTGGTCGGCTCACCAAAGTGGAGATACATTTGTGTTGCCCGTTTAGGTAACACTAAACACGCCGAACCTCCGACAGCTAATCTGCTCACAGCCCAGGACGATGTACTTGCTCACCCTACAGGTGACTGTTTTGCCCTACCTGTGCATCCTGCAAAATGCGTCGTCGGCCCATTTCAAACAAACTCAAAAGATCCTGCGACTCGCCCGCCAACCGGTTTTACACCCTCAGCAACCGGCTGCACTTCTAACATCAAATATGTTGACGCCAACAGTACCATGCTCTTCTCTTATCCACTACAGTCCAAGGACGAGGCTGCTCATACTCTTGACCTGTTTTACACTTGGCTAGGAAAAGAAAAGCTGACAAAATTTGAGGAGTTAAAGTGCGATCGTGGTGGGGAATTCGTTTCTCACGAATTTAAAGCCATAACACCGTGGAACACGTCAAAGTCCTTTACACATATACTAATTCCCCCAGCACTTCATGGCTTAGTGGAGCGTATGAATGGAATTATCGCGGATCTAATGCGTGGCTTTCTCGACCATTCCGGTCAGCCTGCCGAGATGTGGTCCGAGGCATTATGCCATGCTACATTAACGCACAAATATCAGTCGCAACGATCGTAACCCTGACAGTAAATCCGCTTGGGAAATCTTCTACGGCGACAAACCTAACAAACGTATCAAACATATGCATGTATATGACTGTCAAGTGGCCTTCACCAATCAGGACCCTACGACCAGACTCGATGACAGAGCCACGCTAGGGGTATATCTAGGGCAGGAGATCGACTCTAAATATTACGATGAGTGTGGAATTCTAAGCGCCAAGTCAGGCCGCATATGTCATTCTAGAGATGTCAAATTCAACAAACGTGTCTCTTCTACTTGGACAAAGGTTGGAACTATACCCCTCCCTCGCTCCACCACACTGCGGGACGATATACCAACTATACGGGAACTAACACTGGCACCCACTGCCTCACAGTCACCTTCCAACGACTCACCCCTACCTTCCACTCCCTCTGTTCCTACCGACCTCAGTCAACACACCACTCCAGAGGAGCTTTCGCCGGTATCTGGCACTCGTCCTTTCCCAGGCTCTGCTCTTAGTCCTGCAAACACGCATTCAGCACAGAATTCAGGGGAGTCATCGCACGATATATCTTATCATACTGTACGCTTTAATGCTTCAGTGGAGGACCCGCCCATTGTCCCTGACCAGCAACCACCCAACGCCGACGTACCACATACCCGACCAGGTCCTGTTCTCACCAGCTACGCAGACTTGTACTATGGAAGACAGTCACAACACCGCCCTTCAATAACATATCGCCAAACATACAACGTCACGAACGCTTCATGGCTCCCAACACCGGCATCCTTAATGAACCTGACTTACCATCTATTATGCGTATGACCCGTACTCGTGCCCGACAAATGAATGAACAGAACGCCGCCATCGTCGATCAGCTCAAATGTATCAACAATCCCACTCGTCCGGCTACTAATCATGTACACTGGTCAAACGACATAGAAAACTCTGGCTTCACTGTCACCGACATGACCACCCTTGCCGATGGCATAGTACCTTTAAATACGTATGGCAAGGAACTACGTCTCAAAGCGAAATACACTCGTTCCCTTCACCATCTTCGTCGCGCACAACGTCAAAACAAAGCGGACAAAGCTTTTCGCCGGGCTGCTGTACCGCACGCTTGCTCTAGCGCCAACAAAGCCCTCAAATTGCTTGCTAATCAGCCCCCACAACTCGCGCTCGAGCCGGAGCCTCCCGGCGATATACCCTTCCAAATTAACACGACATCACCTCCATCGCCACGACCTCCACACACACACCGTCCACATGATGGCACTATCGACGAACTCTACAGAATATGCGCAGCAATACACATTAACCTACTTACCCCTCAGTCCATCAAAGCGGCTCTTCGTGGCAATGATGCTGCTCTGTGGCGCGAAGCCATCGAACGCGAGTTACACAGTCTACAAAAGTCCGGCACCTACGACTTGCTTACACCGGAAGGGTTT